GAGAGGGGGGGAGGGGTGGGGGGAGGGGGGGGGAGGGGTCATGGCAGGGGACGGGAGGAGGGGCAGGGTGTCAGTCCAGAGAAGGGGCCGGGGAAATGGGGGAAGGGGGTTAGGGGCGGAGGGGGAGGTGTAGTACGGGGTGGCCTCGTCAAAGACCACGTCCCGACTACGGATGAGGCGGCCTGAGGGGGGGTGGAGGAAAAGGTAGTCAGGTGAGTTGGTGTTGTGTCCAAGGTAGACACAGGGGAGTGTGCGGGACGCAAGCTTTCGACGTGCGCGTGAGCGGTCAGCAGGGTGTATGAGGGCATACGCCTTGCAACCCCAGACGCGCAGAGGAGATATGTCAGGCTTGCTGGAGGTCCAAAGTTCGGTGGGGGTGGAGGTGGGACGGGAAGGGTGGGGGTAGAGGTTAGTGAGGATGGCAGCATGAAGGATGGCATAGCCCCACAGAGAAGGTGGGCAGGAGGCGTGAACGAGGAGGCACCGAGCCGTTTTGGTGATCTCCCGCACGCGGCTCTCCGCCACACCATTCTGCTGAGGAGAGTGAGGGAGAGTGTAGGTGTGGAGGATGCCGTGAGTGGTGCAGTAGGAGGACAGGGTGTGGATGAGGAACTCACCGCCTCCATCGGAATGGAAGCGGCGAACAGGGCGACCGAAGTGGTTGCGTGCTTGTTCAGCCCAGGCAGTGATGGCAGCCGGGGCCTCCGCCTTCGTACGAAGGAGGGTGACGGAGGAGTATCGACTGTGATCATCCACCAGGATCAGGAGATAGCGATGTCCTTGCCTGGTGGGGGAAGGGTTAGGGCCCCACATATCCATGTGAACGAGGTCAAGGGGTTGGAGGGAAAAGGAGGGGTTACTCGTGTGTGGTTGTTGCTTCAGCTTGCTTTCAACACAAACTGAGCAAGGAGGGGAGGGGGACGGAGGGAGGGGGGGAAGGGTAAGGGGGAGACCGTCAAGGAGTTTAGTGAGGATGGATCGGCGAAGGGTGGCAAAGTTGGGATGGCCTAGGCGATGGTGGAGGAGAATGGTGGGGTGTGTGAGATTACGACAGTGACAGGGGGAGGGTGGGTTAGATGGGGGGGGGGGGGGAAGGGGTGGGGGGGAGGGGGAGGGGGAGGGGGAGGGGGAGGGGGAAGGGAGGGGGGAGGGGGAGTTGGAGGGGGAGGGAGAGGTTCGAGAGGAGGGGAGGGGGTGGGGGGATGGGGTGTGGAGAGTTGGTGAAGGGTGGGGCGGGGGATGCGGAAGGTGTACATGTGGGTGGAGGGGCACCGATGGACACGGCAGAGGAAGCGACCAGAGGGGGTGTGAAATAAGTCACAATATGCTGCGTGACCAGGAAATAAGGCGGTGACACCTGCCGTTGAGAGGGCACCAAGGGAAACCAGGTTGTTACGAAGGGAGGGGACATAGAGACCTGTGACAGTACCTGAGGGAAAGAGGGGACAGGGGAGTGTGGAGGTGTAACGGCTTTGTATGGCAAAGCTTGAGTCAGCCCCATAGATTGTGGAGGGGGTGGAGAGGGGGAGGAGCGTGCCTGCATCACGAAGGACCGTGTGGGTGGCACCGCTGTCAAGGATGAACTCAAGGGGCTGGGAGGAGGAGGACACGGAGTACTGGAATGAGGACTCATTAATAGCATTGGCATACATAGGATTATTGCAAGAGCTAGCAGTGGTGACATGACCTATGAAGCCGGGGGGGTGAGAGGAGGAGGTGGGTTGTTCAGTAGTTGCAGCAGTTGCAGCAGTTGCGGCAGTTCTATGGCCATACATAGATGGGGGGTAGGGAGGGTAGGGCCAGCCGGCATAAGGAGGAGGATAGAGAGGAGGATAGGGGGAGGGAGGGGTTGGAGGTGGGGGCGTGGGTGGAGGCGAAGTGGTGAGGGTGGAGGGCGTAGGGGTGGTGGTGGGTGTGGGAAGAAGGTGTTGGACTTGCTGGAGGACGTGAGGGGAGAGGTGCTGAGCGAGGACATTATGGAGGTTAGGTGGAGAGGGTGCATAGGTGGAGAGGGTGCGAATATCATGAGGGGTGGGGCGAGGGGTGATAGTGTTCCAACGTGGAGGGGGACCTGTGTTGCCGCGTGCAAGCCATTCATCAGTGAGGGCTTTGAAGCACGTTTCACTTGGATGAGTGGTCTGGTTGCAGGTCTGACCTTTGTTGGGGCCTTGACGAATGACGTACTGACACGGGGGAAACCCACCCGTGGATGGAGTAGTTGCTCCACGTCCGCCGCGTTCCCCAGTGCGCCCTCCTCGTCCGCCTCCGCGACCGCCTCCTCGACCTCCTCCACTTGAACCACGTCCAGGTCCGCTGCTGCTGCTTCCGCCAGTGTTATTGGTTCCTTTGCGAGCGTGAACAGCATTGACCGTTGCAGAGTCACGCAGGAGGTCAGCCTCACTGTCAAGGAGCCAGTCGATGGTAACAGCTACAGGGGGAGGACGAATGTGCTGGGAGGTGAAGTTGATGCGGTAAGTGTCATAGGTGGGTGGGAGGCAGTCAAGGATGCGTGCTGTAAGAAGGGTGTCTGAGATCAAGATGCCTCGATCATTGAGGCGTTGCGCAGTGTCCGTGAGACGCCGAGCGAAGGAGGCAGCATTGAGGGAGGAGTCAAGGGTGATGTCTTGGAAGGTGCGAAAGAGGGAGAGGAGTGAGCGTAAGTCCTGACGGTCATATTGGGCGGAGAGAGACTTCCAGAGAGAGGGGGAGGATGGAGGGCGAAGGTCACGTTTAAGGGAGGAGGGAACGCACGAGAAGATGACAGTGAGTGCACGGCGGTCAGCAATGCGCCATGCAGCAGTATCGGAGTGATGCTTACGAAGGTTAGTAGAGTACGCTTCGGAGATGGCTTTGAACTCTGCAAGCTTTGCAGTAGCAGCTTCGTGAGCGGCGACGGCAGCCGCGTGTGCTCTGCCCTTGATGACGTAGTCGTCTCGCTCCTTGTTGTACTTGTTGAGGGTGCGAGCCCACCTGTCTGGGTTATCCTCCCAAGCCCCTAGGATGGGGGCTTGAGGGGCGGGTTCGGTCGGGAGTGGTGGGGCGTCAGGAGGGGAGGAGCCTGGGAGCGGGGGCGGGGTGGGAGGGAGGCCGTGAGGCGTTTCGAGGACGACGTCAAGAAGGCAATAATCTCCCACTCGGACGGAGCCAAGGTACGTGAAGAGACTCTCCTCAAACGACACCCAATTGACTGCGGTGGTGCCGTTGAGGAGCTCAAGTTTGTCAATCGAGGCGAGCTCAAGCGACGAAGGTTCGTCCGCCATAACGCGTGAGGGAGGAGGGGGGGGGGGAGGGGGGGGGGGGGGGGAGAGGAGGGGAGGGTGGAGGTGCTAGAGGTGACGACGCTGTCCGGAGGGACGGCGCGGTCAGTGGTGGGGATGAGTTGCGTGCTGTCCGCAGCTGGGTACTCCCCCGTCTGGTCGCGTTCGCGGCTGCCCGCGTTCGTCCCGTCCGCGGCTGCTGCCCGCGTTCGTCCCGTCCGTAGCTGCTGCCCGCGTTCGTCCCGTCCTCGGCGGTTGCCCGCGTTCGTCCCGTCCGCGGCGGCTGCCCCCGTTCGTCCCGTCCGCGGCGGCTGCCCGCGTTCGTCCCGTCCGCGGCGGCTGCCCGCGTTCGTCCCGACCGCGGCGGCTGTCCGCGGATGTCGCGTCCGCGCTGCCCGTCGGCGCGGACGTCGCGACCGCCCTCGTCGTCGGCGCGGGTGGCGCGTCCGCGCTGACCGTCGGCGCGGACGTCACGTCCGCCCTCGTCGTTGGCGCGGATGTCGCGTCCGCGCTGCCCGTCGGCGCGGACGTCGCGTCCGCCCTCGTCGTCGGCGCGGATGTCGCGTCCGCGCTGCCCGTCGGCGCGGACGTCGCGTCCGCCCTCGTCGTCGGCGCGGATGTCGCGTCCGCGCTGCCCGTCGGCGCGGACGTCGCGTCCGCCCTCGTCGTCGGCGCGGATGTCGCGTCCGCGCTGCCCGTCGGCGCGGACATCGCGTCCGCCCTCGTCGTCGGCGCGGATGTTGCGTCCGCGCTGCCCGTCGGCGCGGACGTCGCGTCCGCCCTCGTCGTCGGCGCGGACGTCGCGTCCGCGGTTGTCGGTCGCGGTCGTCGCGTCCGCGGCTGACGGTCGCGTTCGTCGCGTCCGCGGCTGACGGTCGCGTTCGTCGCGTCCGCGGCTGACGGTCGCGTTCGTCGCGTCCGCGGCTGACGGTCGCGTTCGTCGCGGCGGACGGTCGAGGGGAGGAGGGGAGCGCCGAGATGGCGCGAGGGGCACGGCAGAGCCAGCGGAAGTGCGCTAAGTTGCGCGAGAGGCGCGGCAGAGCCGGGGAGAGGTGCGCTAAGTGGCGCAAGAGGTGCGGCAGAGCCGGGGAGAGGTGCGCTAAGTGGCGCGTGAGGCGCGCTAAGTGGCGTGTGAGGCGCGCTAAGTGGCGCGTGAGGCGCGCTAAGTGGCGCGTGAGGCGCGCTAAGTGGCGCGAGAGGCGCGGCAGAGCCGGCGAGAGGTGCGCTATGTAGCACGAGGGGTCCTAGGATCTTGAGCGGCGTTGGCCGCAAGAGCTCTGATAACCATGTTAGAATTGAACCATTGAGTTAATTAGGAATCATACGGGCTTACATAGTTGAAGCTAGGGGAGGGGGGGTTGGTTGGGTACCTAGTCATCATTATTGGCCCCCCACCAATAAGTTAGGTTGGAGAATTATTGGGGGGTCCCAATAATGTTGGCCAAAAGTGGGCCAACATTATTGGGGGGGGCCAATAATCTCTCAACTCAACCTTGGGGGCCAATAATTGGACCAAGGTTGGGTTCCAACCCCCAACTAGGGTTAACCCTAGTTGTGCACCCAAACATAGTTTGGGTGCCTATCTCTGTCCTAGGGTTTATAGGATCAATGCAGGATACAGAAGAGTAGTATAATCTAACAAGGTTTCCTATTCGAAAAAACAAGGACAAGGGTTTTGTATTTAGGGTTCACAACAGAGTGACCTCTGAGTCGACTCAAAACGACGGGTGGAAACAGACTGACCATGTGCTTGGTCAGCAGCTGATCCCTCTCCGCCTCACTCCACCCCGCCGCGGCCAGCAGGCCTGTTGTGAGCACACATGTCGCAGCCTCCTTCTGCCACGTGTCAAGCTCTGACTGGCGGAATGGCAACAGCGCAGCAACCACGTGTGGGAAGGACTCCTTGAGGAGGCCAGGAACGGGCGCCTGGAGGGCCTGGTGAGTGGCATGAGTGAGGGGGGAGGGCGGGTGGGTGGGGAGCAGCACATGGGGGAAATTTGCCCTTGAGGATCCGAGGCCCGGTGGGAAGGTGCCTGGAGAGCCTGGCTGGCGAGTGGAAGGAAGGAAGGAGCGGTGAGGTGGGGCAGTGGGGGGGGATCCGGAGATGTATGATAAATTTCGAAGAGACAGGAAATGAATGAAGGGGACAGGTGCACTGACAAAGGAGTGAGAAAACGGTGGAAGAAACGAAGCTGGTTGAATAATGCATCGGAAACTCTTCAACTGATCCTTCTGCACCCCCCCATCGCTCACACCACTACCCATCTTCCTGCATGGCCACCGCTGTGAGAGTCGGCCTCTCTCACTCACCTCTGCCAGGAATTGTATGTCGCTCTCCCTCCCCAGCAGCAGCAGCGCAGGCAGCACCAGCGGAGCCAGCCTCTTCCACGCCCTTGCAAGTGCTCCTGCATCCCCCACTCCTGCTGCTACCACCCCTGCAGTTTCTCCTCCTGCTTCATGGTCGCCCTTCTCCTCGAGCATGTGACTCCCCCCGTCACCAGCTGTCCAACAGCCTGCGCCGCCCACCCCCCTACCCCCCCCTGCTTGCTCCAACGCCACCACCACCTACACGGTGCACCCGCCCGCGGTGGTGACCATACACATGCATGCACGCACGCACGCATGCACGCAAGCACAGACACAGATTCATATCGTTTTTAACACTTGCGTGTGTGGAAGGGGGGGGTGAGGAGTGGCATGAATGGGGTTGGGCAGGAGAGTGGCAGCAATAGAGCTCACCTGTGCGAGAGCAGGCAGAGGCAGCAGCAATGGGTCTGCTGCAACCCACCGCATGGCCACAGAGGGCAGGAGAATGTCCAGGTACTGGATAGGATAGGGGTGGGAGGGGAGGAAAAGAAGAAGCGAAGAGGGAAGGCGGTGGAGGGTCATACAAGCGGCCATGACCACCACACAGTGTTGCAAGACTCAAGGCTTTACCGTGAATCATCTAGAACACACATGGCTCGGACAGTGGCTGGAATGGCGCAAAGACTGGGGCCGACTGACCTGGCTGAGACTGGGGCCGACTGACCTGGCTGAGACTGGGGCCGACTGACCTGGCTGAGACTGGGGTAGCCCAGCGATGCAGCAGCTGTGGTGAGGACTGCAGCGGCCACATTGCTGGACAGGACAGTTGGATTGGGAAGGAATGCCCAAGACGCGCAGAGAGAAAGAGGAAAACACGGAAGAAAGAGGAAAGCAGGGAGGGGAGAAAGAGGAGAGAAAGCGGGGCTAACGCGATGAGAATGAAGGGAGGTGCAGTTTAGAGAAACATTAGGAAACAAGAAGGGAGGATTTGCAGCAGTCAACAAGGATGCGTGACTTCTCGTCCGATGTGCAATTGACTTACAAGGCTGCAAACGTGCTTTCCTCGTCTGATATAAAACAAGCACAGAACTTACGTGCTCACAAGGCGGAGAGCAGCAGCTGCGATGATGAGGAATACGACCTGGTTGAGAGGAGGGGGGCAGGCAGAGCATGACCACCATGCAGCACGACCACCATGCAGCATGACCACCATGCAGCACGACCACCATGCAGCACGACCACCATGCGGCACGACCACCATGCAGCAGAGGCAAACGAGGCATAGATTATAGTCAGGACAGAACCATGCCTGGCAGATGAATGCAGGACAGCATAGTGACAACGACAGTAGAGACGAAACGCAACTCATCAGTCAGGTCAGTGCATTTTGCAGATGGCAGGGAGGAAAGCTGTGAATATCCAGAGAATAAGGATACAGGGAAAATAGCCTTGCAGCCCACCTCGTCCTCCACGAGGTCACTGCTCTCCGCTATCCTCCCCACCCCAGCAGTAAGGCCATAGCACAGTATGGCAGAGCAGAAAAGGAACCTCTGGAGCTGTGAGCATACAGAGAATAAGGCCTGCTTGCAGCTTACCTCATCCTCCACGATGTCGCTGCTCTCGGCTATCCTCCCCAGCAGCAACACACTTCGTGCATGGTGGGGAGGTAAGCTGTGAAGCTGCGATGCGAGTGTACAGAGAGAGATGGGGTGCTTGCAGCTAGCAGCTCACCTCGTCCTCCACCAGGTCGCTGCTCTCTGCTATCCTCCCCAGCAGCATGGTCATGGTATGGTACGGTATGGCAGGGCACGAAAGGAAGCTCTGGAGCTGCTGTGAATGTACAGACAGAGAGAAGAAGGGCGGCCCGTAGCTCACCTCGTCCTCCACCAGGTCGCTGCTCTCCGCTATCCTCCCCAGCAGCATGACTATAGTATGGTATGGTATGGCAGGGCAGGAAAGGAAGCCGTGACGCTGTGAGCGTACAGAAAGAGAAGAAGGGCTGCTTGCAGCTCACCTCGTCCTCCACGAGGTCGCTGCTCTCCGCTATCCTCCCCAGCAGTAGGACACTCGTCTCCACCCTCGCCCTGTCCACTCGCCCCGCCTCCCTCCTCACTCTCTCCTCATCTGTCTCCCCACTCCCTCCTGCTCCTCCCTCTCCCCCTCTCTCTCCTCCACTGCCTCCCTTTCCCGCAACTCCTCCCCCAACCCCTTCCCCACTGTGCATGAGCCCCAAGAGAGCGCCCTTCCCTGCAGGACCTGCCAGCAGAGGCAAGCTGCGGCGGGCGGCAGGGCTGGAAGAGGGGGTGGAGGTAGGAATGCTGCTGCTGGTGGTGGCGGTGGTGTCTGAGGGCAGGTGGAGCGTGGAGATGGAGAGCGTGGGTGCGGGCGCGAGCAACAATGTCTTCAAGTCCTTCCTGTTACATGTTGGGGGAGAGAACGCGGTAACTGAGTTGAGAACGATAAAAAAGCAGCATGTAGAGTGGAGCATGGGGGTGGAGACGGTGGGTGCGGGCGCGAGACAAAGCGTCTTCAAGTATTTCCTGCAACCCCTTTGAGTTGGAGGTAGAAAATGGGATGGTTTGCATGCTGCATGATACATACCTTGTTTGCATACATACGAGAGGATTTCCTGCCACCTGACCTCGAGGTTTGGCTGGCCATCACTCCCGAACCGAGCAGGATCGACTTGAAAGAGGGGCGGGCCTGTTCCGGCTTGACCTGAACTGGCTTGGCCCAGCCCTGCTCTTGCCACAGGTGGCGTCCACCCATGGCAACGGTCGCACTCACAATACGGCTGTGCCAGACTTTCAGTTGCTCACTCATTTGCGCACGCACAATACGAGCTTGGTGGTGGAAGGTGACAACTGGGTGTCGAAAGTTTAACAGCATGTGGAGAGTGCGCGGAGTGCCAAAGTGTCGGATTCCACACGCGGGGGATGTAAGAGCAGACGGACTCACAGCGTGTCAGCGAGCATGGCGGGGTGGCCCTCCCACTTGAAGTAGAGCAGGTCGGTTTTCTCACATAATTCTCAACGAGCAGCAGATTCTAGTAGGGCTTACATCTCAAGGGAAAATTCTGACAAACGGACTCACAGCGTGTCGGTGAGCAAGGCCGGGTGGTCCTCCCATTTGTGGAAGAGAGCAGGCAGCAGGTGGGCCATGTGCAGACGCACCCCGTAGTCCCGGTCGTGCAGCAGCGCTAGGAGTGGCGTAGTAAAGAGGTCCTGAGCGGTGCAGGTGTGTGCATGGATGGTGGAAATGGGAAGAGATAAAAAATGGAGATGTTGGAAAAATCCTCGATTGGAAATGAAGAAGAATAACAAAGCATGGAACTTTTTTCCATGGGAAAAATGGCATGAGACTGCATCGAACCGAAGCGAAACAGCCAAAGAGGAGATATGAGGACACATGGAATGGCAGCAGAGCGGCGCGGAGTGGAGCTTTGAGACACATGGAATGGCAGCAGAGCGGCGCGGAGTGGAGCTTTGAGACACACGGAATGGCAGCAGAGCGGCGCGGAGTGGAGCTTTGAGACACACGTACAGAGTCGCTGAGGAGGACGAGTGCGAGGAGGGCATCTGCGAGGTGGATGCGCGCAGCTGGGGAGGGCAGGGGCTTGGTGCCCAACATGGGGACCAGTGCCTCCTGCATCACCTGCAGCGCCTGTGGATGGGGAATAGAGGAGAGGAGAGGAGGCACACAAGACAAGAAAACACAAGAATTCCATTCCAGGTATCACCACCAGCTGGGGAGGGCAGGGGCTTGCTGCCCAACATGGGGACAAGTGCCTCCTGCATCACCTGCAGCGCCTGTAGAGAGGGAATAGAGGAGAGGAGAGGGAAGCACACACAGCACAGGTTCCAGCATAGCCACTCCAGCCTAGCTTCGCGAACACCTCAAGAAGACGCATGTTATGGAAAGGAGATGGTATGACTGTTTAAGAACTCTCTCTCACCTCTCAACTCAACCATCCAGCGATTTTTTCTTTTGCACCTAAAAAACCGTGTTGTGGCATGGAGACGCTTCCTTGGGAACTCTCTCTCAACTCAACCATGCAGCAGCAGCTCAGCTCCTCATGGGTTCTCTGTGAGCAACATTTCACCTCCTCCACTTCTCACCTCCTCCACCTCTCACCTCCTCCACCTCTCACCTCCTCCACCTCTCACCTCCTCCACCTCTTGTGAGAGGGGGGGGTTAGTCGGATTCTTGGCCAACATTATTGGCCCCCCACCGATAAGATGGGTTTGGAGAATTATTGGGGGGCCCCAATAATATTGGTCAAACTTGGGTCAACATTATTGGGTGGTCCAATATTTCCCAACCCAACATTTGGGGGACAATTAAATAAGTAAACCAAGGTTGAGTTCCCAACCCCCAACTAGGGATAGGATAACCCCCTACCCTAGCTGTGCACCCGAACTAAGCTTGGGTGCCTATCTCTACCCAAGTTTATAGGATAAATGTAGGACACAAGGAGAATGATACTCTCACACCTCTCACCTCCTCCATCTCTCACCTCCTCCACCTCTCACCTGATTCACATCTGTGTCGCTGGCAGTTGCAGTGTCAGCTCCACCACCCCACGCCACCATGCTCCCCACGCCCTCCATCCGCTCCTCCGCTGCCCCCAAATCCTCCACGCCCTCATCTGGGAGCAGGGGGGGCGGAAGGGTGCCGCCCCTGTGTGCTGCAAGGCGGCGGGCAGTTATGGCTGTGAGGTGAAGGAGGTGCTGCTGGTGGGAGTGCAGTGTGGTGGATGCACGGGACTCCAGGGCTGCTAGCTGTGAGGGGGAAGAGGGCACAAGGGGGTGAAGCGGGGAAATGAAGGGGGTGGCTGTGAGGCACAGCAGGTGCTGGCGGTGGGAGTGCAATGTGGTGGATGCACGGGACTCCAGACCTGCTATCTGCATGGGAGGAGAAACGGGGGCGAAATGGGGAAATGAAGGGGTGGCTGGGCGGCAGGCGGCAGTGGCTGTGGGACAAGCAATGCTTTGAGCCTGTGATGTGACGTCTCAGTAATGAGCATTACTAAGACCAGTTTTCTCTGCTGTGCGATCGGATTCAAAGCAAAGCGGTCTTACCACAGGCTCGAGTGTGATTGGTTGACAATTCTACTATTATTAGTCGACTACAAAGGTGATATGAACCAACAAGTGCGGTCTTACCACAGGCTCCAGTGCTATCAATAGTTCGGCGTGTGATGCGAGCACGAATAGCAACTGCCAGTAGCACTGGCGGAGGGGAGGGAGACATGGCGGTACAAGGGAGGGCAGGATGACGGAGCAAAACAGCAGAGTGCAGGAGACGGGGGAGAGATGGTGTGGAAAAAGGAATGGAGAGGCATAAGGCGAAGGATGGGAGCTTGGGAAACAGGGAGGCAGAGAGTGAAGTGAAGTGGAGGAAAAGAAAAGGAAAGGGGGGTGGGTTGATGTTTGCAAGGGGTGAAGCAAGTGACACCACATCCAGCATCCCCCCTTCCATCGTGCCCTGTCCTCTGCCCCGTGCCTGTCAGAACTTGAGCTTAGAATGGATACATTAGTAATGAGCTTGAAGCTCTCTAAGTACATCCAAAATGAGTAAGGTATGGATGGGGAGGGAATCGGGGGCGATTTCTAGGGATTGGAGGTAATCCCAAGGCAATCTCCAATTGGTGGGTTGGAGATTGCTTGGAGATCACATATGGGTTTGGTTGGGATGTGGGTTGTACACCCAACCAAACAAAAAGTTGCAAACTACACTAAACTAGGATATAAAAATTACAAGTACAAAAAGGTGAGATTGAGGGCTTAACACTAACACTGCCCACTGTCCCCTGTCCCCTGTCCCCTGTCCCCTGTCCCCTGCCCCCTGTCCCCTGCCCCCTGTCCCCTGCCCCCTGTCCCCTGTCCCCTGTCCCCTGCCCCCTGCCCCCTGCCCCCTGTCACCTGCCCCTTGCCCCCTGTCCCCTGTCCCCTGCCCCCTGTCACCTGCCCCTTGCCCCCTGTCACCTGTCCCTTGCCCCCTGTCTCCTGCCCCCTGTCCCTTGCCCCCTGCCCAGCACGCACCTCAGAACCTTCATTGAGCTGCAGCAGCGATGCCACCTCACTGCATGCCGCTGCTGGGAGGAACTCGGCCACCCACCCCACCACGCAGACCGCTCCCTCTGCCACCTCCGCTGCTGTTGCACTGCCACCACCACCAGCACCACCAGCACCAGCACCAGCAGCAGCAGCAGCAGCAGCAGCACGAGCAGCACTGGCAGCAGCGCCACTGCCCCCAGCACCGTCCCGCCACGCACTCTGCGTGTGCCTGCTGCGCACCAGGGGAGCCTGGGACGGCAGCACTCCAGGTGCATCCAAGTCATTGTCAAAGATCCGAGCCTCCGCCTCCTCCCCACCCTCCTCATCTAACTCTATCACCTGCTGCTGCTGGAATTGAAAGCTGGGCACAACTGCACCTGATCTCGGCCCCAACATCCCTCCCAATCTTCCTCTTGCCCCGCCTCTCCCGCCCCTTCCGCCAGCAGATTGCAGCCCACTGTGCCCAGCGTGCAGCCCAGTGTGCCCAGCGTGCAGCCCAGTGGTGGAAGCAGACGGCTGCTGAAACTCCCAGTCGTCGTCAAAATCGTCGTCCAAGTGACTCCTCGTGGCGAAGGTGACAGCAGAGGCTGGAGGCAGGGAGAGCGCCGACACTGCCGCTTCGCAACCCCCTGTCGCTCCGCCTCCCGCTCCTGCTGCTGCTGCTGCGGCTGCTTCGGCCACGGTGGTAAAGGAGGTGGTGGCGAGTCGAAGCATGGCGGAGAGGAGAGGGAGGGAGGCGGGCGTGCGGGGGAGGATGGAGAGGAGGTCGCGTATGAGTGGAAAGGAGGGAGGGTCCAGGGAGCCGGTGGGAGAGATGGATGGTGAAGACGCGAGAGCTGTTATGGCTGACTGGAGACTCTGCTTCTCCAGAAGACCCCCGGAGAGGAGGTCACGAGGAAGAGTTCTGCAGGGAAGGGAAGAGTGGAGGGGATATTACGCACATTTATAGCCATCGCCGGCTGAAAGTCAGATACATCCGACTCTGTTGTCACACAGACCAAACCATTCAAGCAGTCCAATCGCAGAAACGAAAGAGAAGAAACATGGAGTCGGGTTGTTAGGTGAGTTGAATGGATGTGTGCGGTGTGGGTGAATGAAGTGACCTGGTGAATGAAGTGACCTGGTGAATGAAGTGACCTGGTGAATGAAGTGACCTGGTGAAGGAGCAGCAGGAGAGCAGGCGACAGCAGTGCAGACCCACCGCTGCCACCCACAGGCTGCTCGCACCCATGCCTCCACCACCACCACCACCACTGCCCTCCTCGGAGCTGCCAGCTGAGCCCCTACCCTCCACCCACTCTCCCTCCCCTCCTGGCCCTCTCCCCAAACCACCTGCTCCTTCACCGCCCGCCCTTCCTCCTGCCCTTCCTCCCGGCCTTCCTCCCACCACACCTTCCTCACCACCACCGTCTCCCTCTGCGCTGCTTGGCGAGCGGGTGAGCGAAGCAAGTGCAGAGAGGGCTGCTTGGGAGAGCGGCAGAACGCGGGAAGCGTCCAAGAGCGAGCGCGAGAGCGTGAGGTTGGTTGAGGGTGGGGAGTAGGGGGAGGAGGCGAGGGAGGGAGGTGTGTGCTTGTCCCTGTTCTGCTGGACGTGTGAGGGAAGGCGATGGGGAGTGAAGGGAGGAGAGGAAGAGAAAGGTGAGGATGAGCTGCTCAGGAACAGAAGTTAAAGGAGCGACAAGTAACATCAGAAGAAGAGGTGAGGGTTGTGCGAGAAGGTAAGGAGGCAACAAGAGTTCAGTTGATAAAGAGCCATCTTGTCAAAATTGGCTGCACTGCCTTCCCTGTTTACACACTGCCTTCCCTGTTTACACACTGCCTTCCCTGCTTAGTGAGGAGGCAACAAGAGCTGGGGTGTCGATGAGCCAAATCTTAACGAGTGTTTGTAATGCGCTCCCCGTTTTCCCAGCAAGTAACAAACAACTTCTATGGCACCACCTTCTGGTCTGACTTGTCTTCAACATGATCGAGGCGAACTGTACAGGTGTTTGTCCTTCTGCCCAAGCCTAACCTGAAAGGCTGCAAGCCATTGTGGAGGCGAAGCCGGAGGGGCAGCAGCAGCAGGGGCGTGTGGCACGCCACGCACCAAGGCCGTCTGCGGGGCGCACGCAGCAGCACCTGCTGCCCCTGCAGCTGCTGCAACGAGGCAGTGAGGGCTGCGGTATAAGTGAGGGAGAGCTGGCTCCATGTCCCTCACGTCTTCGTGTAGCTGATAAGGGGGAGGAAGAAAAATACACGAGTGCAGGCAGAGAGATGCACACACGGGGGTGTGGGCAGGGCAGGACGGCCAAAAAGAAGCCAGAACCTCGAAGCTGCTAGGGGTGTGGACGGGAGCCCTCACTTGTTCGCTAAAGAATCACCCTCTATTCCTTTTATTGCACCGCTGCTCGCAGGCCATGACAAGAACCACCCCACACACCCACCAAGAGTTTACAGGTAATCACCAGTCTTGAGACGTCTCAAAACTCTTAGAGCTTACAGGGAACCACCAGTCATGGTGGAAGGAGGTGGGCACAGGGCACGGAGAATGACAGGACCAGGCAGCAGCTGCACCAGGCGCAGCAGCAAGAGAAGCGGCAACAGCAGCAGTGGATATGCGGGAGCAGGGTGCTTCGCCTGTCACTGCTGCGCACAAAGCAGCTGCAAGTAGAGATGGGTCCGGTGGGCGGTGAGTGCGGTGCAGAGTGGTGCGCAGGGTGATGGGGTGAGAGGGCTCGGAGTCTCTGGGGGAGAGGGATGGGCCGTGAGCCTGGTGACGGGATTTCAATGACAACAGGGCAGCACAATGGGGGATCTTTCTTTGCAGCGACACAAAAAAGGCAATGGAGGGGGGGGGGGGGGGGGAGGATGTGCATGTGGAAGAAAAGGCATGAGGGTTGGACTTTGGAGGAGGCGTGCATGATGCGAATCTGGGAGTGCATGTGGATACTGATGCATTGATTTCTGAGGCGCCTAAAAATTTTTCGTCATTTTGGATGTGCACAATGCATGTGTGGATACAGATGCAGTAAGTAAGGCATGGAGGGAACGGAATGTGGAGCAGAAAGGAACGGACACACCCGCGCTTTCATCACACCACCACCTCACCTCACCTCTCCTCACCTCACTTCACCGCACAGCAGCTGCCCACCTCGTTGGCCATTCCTGCAAGCAGCCACTGCAGCAATGCCACGCGTGCCGTGCTGAGCGGTGACGTGGCAGCTGGATTCAGCGCCAGCAGCGCTGCCTCCTGGCGCTGGCATGGGGAAGGGCGGGATGGGAGGGGGGCAGAAAGGAGAGGAGGGTGGGAGGACGGGGAGGAAGGTGAGAGCGGGGAAGAGTAACCAAAATCTCTGAGCAAAGCATGCAAACAAGGAAAGTGTGCAGAGCAGCAGATTGCCCACATGACATTAGGATTATTCGCCAAACGCCGTAATGTTGGAAGCACATTCTTAGATTTCCGCATCAAGGAAGTGAAGGATTGACCAGCAACTTCTTAGTAGCAGATTGCCCACATGACATTTTTTTGGGCGCCTTGAACATGCCGATGCGATGACCAGATGAGACAATAAGGAGGAGGCGAGGAGTGAGCGACGCAGGAAGCAACAAACCTGAAAGGTTGTATTGGAGAGCAGCGAGGCTGCAAACTGCAGAGTTGCACTGGTGTGGTGACGGGAAGGCAGGATGTAGTGGAAGGGCAGAGTCAGACAGCAGAGAGAAGAGACTGGCTTGCATGTAGTGCGGTCAATGGTCGTACCCTTGGGCTTCTTTTGAGACGTCTCAAAAGAGTGAAATGACTGGCTTGCATGTAGTGCGGTCAATGGTCGTACCCTTGGGCTTCTTTTGAGACGTCTCAAAAGAGTGAAATGACTGGCTTGCATGTAGTGCGGTCAATGGTCGTACCCTTGGGCTTCTTTTGAGACGTCTCAAAAGAGTGAAATGACTGGCTTGCATGTAGTGCGGTCAATGGTCGTACCCTTGGGCTTCTTTTGAGACGTCTCAAAAGAGTGAAATGACTGGCTTGCATGTAGTGCGGTCAATGGTCGTACCCTTGGGCTTCTTTTGAGACGTCTCAAAAGAGTGAAATGACTGGCTTGCATGTAGTGCGGTCAATGGTCGTACCCTTGGGCTTCTTTTGAGACGTCTCAAAAGAGTGAAATGACTGGCTTGCATGTAGTGCGGTCAATGGTCGTACCCTTGGGCTTCTTTTGAGACGTCTCAAAAGAGTGAAATGACTGGCTTGCATGTAGTGCGGTCAATGGTCGTACCCTTGGGCTTCTTTTGAGACGTCTCAAAAGAGTGAAATGACTGGCTTGCATGTAGTGCGGTCAATGGTCGTACCCTTGGGCTTCTTTTGAGACGTCTCAAAAGAGTGAAATGACTGGCTTGCATGTAGTGCGGTCAATGGTCGTACCCTTGGGCTTCTTTTGAGACGTCTCAAAAGAGTGAAATGACTGGCTTGCATGTAGTGCGGTCAATGGTCGTACCCTTGGGCTTCTTTTGAGACGTCTCAAAAGAGTGAAATGACTGGCTTGCATGTAGTGCGGTCAATGGTCGTACCCTTGGGCTTCTTTTGAGACGTCTCAAAAGAGTGAAATGACTGGCTTGCATGTAGTGCGGTCAATGGTCGTACCCTTGGGCTTCTTTTGAGACGTCTCAAAAGAGTGAAATGACTGGCTTGCATGTAGTGCGGTCAATGGTCGTACCCTTGGGCTTCTTTTGAGACGTCTCAAAAGAGTGAAATGACTGGCTTGCATGTAGTGCGGTCAATGGTCGTACCCTTGGGCTTCTTTTGAGACGTCTCAAAAGAGTGAAATGACTGGCTTGCATGTAGTGCGGTCAATGGTCGTACCCTTGGGCTTCTTTTGAGACGTCTCAAAAGAGTGAAATGACTGGCTTGCATGTAGTGCGGTCAATGGTCGTACCCTTGGGCTTCTTTTGAGACGTCTCAAAAGAGTGAAATGACTGGCTTGCATGTAGTGCGGTCAATGGTCGTACCCTTGGGCTTCTTTTGAGACGTCTCAAAAGAGTGAAATGACTGGCTTGCATGTAGTGCGGTCAATGGTCGTACCCTTGGGCTTCTTTTGAGACGTCTCAAAAGAGTGAAATGACTGGCTTGCATGTAGTGCGGTCAATGGTCGTACCCTTGGGCTTCTTTTGAGACGTCTCAAAAGAGTGAAATGACTGGCTTGCATGTAGTGCGGTCAATGGTCGTACCCTTGGGCTTCTTTTGAGACGTCTCAAAAGAGTGAAATGACTGGCTTGCATGTAGTGCGGTCAATGGTCGTACCCTTGGGCTTCTTTTGAGACGTCTCAAAAGAGTGAAATGACTGGCTTGCATGTAGTGCGGTCAATGGTCGTACCCTTGGGCTTCTTTTGAGACGTCTCAAAAGAGTGAAATGACTGGCTTGCATGTAGTGCGGTCAATGGTCGTACCCTTGGGCTTCTTTGCATAGACGTCCATCAATACAACAGTGGTTGTTGCAAGAGAGCACATGAAAAAGCAACGTGGCATGGCATGCAGCAGAATTGGCTAGTCAGATGGCTATCTGTGTGAGGGACTGGAGGGCGTAGTAGAGCAAAAGCCTGCCCTCGTGACCTCTGGGCCGGACTATGGTGTTGCGCCCAGATGTCCAGCCCCTCGTCACCTGCCGAGTGCAACAACAGAAGCCCAACTAGTACTACTGGGCATGCATGTAGAACAGAAGGCAGACCGGTAATACCAGTACCACGCACGCACCTGTAATTTTTCGCACCCAGCCAGTACCGGAAGAAGATTCTGGGAACTTGGCCAACTTCACGCCATGCCTATGCAGCTATGCTCACCTTGTAGGTGCGGCACCCTCCTTAAATTGCGGCAGTGCCAGCATCTCCCGGGGAGGAGTCACATCCTGCAAAACACCCTGTGGCACCATGTACGGGCATTAGAGGGTGAGGGTGGAATTGCAGGTAACGGAGGGAAGGAAGGAACATGTATGTCAGAAGGAGGCTTCCTGCGAGCCAGTGCACAGTGCACAGCACAGTGCACTTTAAGTCAACAACGATGAACGGAAGGGCGTGCATGGAATGACTGCTTTGAGACGTCTCAAAACGGAAGGGCGTGCATGGAATGACTGCTTTGAGACGTCTCAAAACGGAAGGGCGTGCATGGAATGACTGCTTTCAAGTGGTTCTGAGGTGGCTGGCTCTGAACTCGCCGTTTGCCTGTTGCCGTTGTGATTCAGCACACAGAAAGCATCCAGCATGCAGTGTAGTTGACTCTTGCGTGTATGAGGTGACTTTTGAGTCGACTCAAAAGTCACCTTGTTTCCGTTGTCATTCAGCACACAGAACAGAAAGCATCCAGCATGCAGTGTAGTTGACACTTGCGTGTATGTATGATGTATGCCTACACATTAAATGGATGGCACATGCACTCACTGCTTGCAGCAAGGTGGAAAGGAGCGAGAGGCAAGGCTCCACCTGGCAAGAGGTCACCGGGAAGGAAAGGAAAGGAGTGAAATCCAAGTGGGAAATTCAACTTTGATAGGTGTGGCATGGCAGGCATGGTCTCTATGAGCTTTGGCTTCAAGCCATATTTGTGCAAAGCATTGTGGGTGGGTTGCGACCATTGATAAAATTTGTAACTTCAACTCTGAAAGGCGTGGCAGAAGCAGAAGCAGGGGGGTGACAAGGGGCGAAGGGGAGGGGGGACATGGAGTCGAATGGACCACGATCAGAGAGCGTGAAGTATGACAATTGCAGATGCAGGAGGCAGGTTGCAGTGCGGCCATTACCAGGGAGTGCGGTAGAGCAGGGAGAGCAGCAGTGACCTCGCCCCACATACTCTGCCACAGAGGAGCAAGCGATTGTTGCTGTGGGTGCTGGGATAAAGTCGCTGCTCCGGCGCTGCTGCTGCTGCGAGGCACTTGGTTGGGCTGATGCAGAGGATGAGAGGCAGTGAGCAACATGCATAGCTGCTCCAGGCACCTGATGGATGGAGGGAGACGAGATCGGTCGGTCAGGGATGCGTGAGATGAGCTGGGAACACACCACTGTTAGACGCTGGCAGATAACAGCTGTTGGATGGCAAAGGCTCAGTGCCCCTGTGCAACAAGGTGTATTTTGAGGCGCCTCAAAATACACCCCTGTGCTCAAAATACACCCCTGAGCAACATGCGTTGGCCAACGGCTGTTAGATGGCAGAAAAGGGTTGTTCCACCCTCACTGACTGTGACCCGTTGCAATGGGACACGACAAGACTGTGGTCAGTCGAATTACAAAGTGAAACAGAAGAACCAATGTGACAAACGGACAGACGTGAGAACAATATGAGAACAGAAACAGCGGGTGGCAGCACAGCGCAGAGCCTCACCTGAGCAGCACAGAGCCTCACCTGAGCAGCACAGAGCCCCACCTGAGCAGCATAGAGCCTCACCTGAGCAGCACATAGCCTCACCTGAGCAGCACAGAGCCCCACCTGAGCGCCCAGATGGGTGTTGGTAGCGAGCCCTTGTGCCGTGCATCCTGCATCCACCTGCTTCAGGGGGGGGGTCACAGGAGTGCACATGGAAGGCAGGGGCGAGCTTCAGCTGCTGGGGCCATGGGAGAACAGGGTGAGCGATGGATGCAGAAGCTCCAGCAGCTGCTGAAGCCCCGTTCCCCCATGGCCCCAGCAGCTGATGGATGCTGGCAGGCAGGCAGTACACAACAGCATGCGAGCCAGCGCATTCGAAGGTGATGGCGGCACACAGAGGCTGGTTTGTCGTGCTTTGGCAGCAGGTCACGTGGCAAGGTGTGCGTGCAAGATTAGGAGGCAGGAGGCAGCAGCAGTGCATTCACAATTCGACTCAAGAGTCACCGTGGCGGCAGATGGGGTTTTGAGACGTCTCAAAACTAGATTCACAATTCGACTCAAGAGTCACCGTGGCGGCAGTGGCAGATGGGGTTTTGAGACGTCTCAAAACTAGATTCACAATTCGACTCAAGAGTCACCGTGGCGGCAGATGGGGTTTTGAGACGTCTCAAAACTAGATTCACAATTCGACTCAAGAGTCGCCGTGGCGGCAGATGGGGTTTTGAGACGTCTCAAAACTAGATTCACAATTCGACTCAAGAGTCACCGTGGCGGCAGATGGGGTTTTGAGACGTCTCAAAACTAGATTCACAATTCGACTCAAGAGTCACCGTGGCGGCAGATGGGGGAAGGGAGGGAGGCAGGTGACCTGGCGAGGTGCGAGTGCAGGAGGGCAAGCCAGCGGTGCAGGGAGTGTGGCGGGATTGAGTGGCCGTGGTCGCACAGTAGCACACACAGTGCTGTCAGCCTGCAGATGGGGAGAGAGGGGGAGATGGAGGGAGGAGTTCAAGCAAGAGTGTAGAGAGGCCAACAGAAGGAATTTTGAGAAGCAGCAAGCGTGATAGCAGGAGACAAAGGAGTGGGGTCGGGGTATAGCGTGTAACGTTCTTAAGGTAATAGGTTGGGTGGGAGACGAGGCGCTACCGCAGCTCGCAGCTGCAAGTTTGATCTGCCAAAGTGATGCATCTCTCATTCCCTCACAAAGTGATGCCTGCCAGGCAGCAGTGGAAGAAACTAGTGCCTCACCAGGGCGCAGTGCCTCACCAGGGCGCAGTGCCTCACCAGGGCGCAGTGCCTCACCAGGGCGCAGTGCCTCACCAGGGCGCAGTGCCTCACCAGGGCGCAGTGCCTCACCAGGGCGCAGTGCCTCACCAGGGCCCAGTGCCTCACCAGGGCGCAGTGCCTCACCAAGGCGCAGTGCCTCACCAGGGCCCAGTGCCGTGTTCAATGTGCTCCTCCACCTGAGCCCACACCGAAGAGCCACCCGCACCACTACCACCACCGCGCTCCAGTGAACCACCCTCATATGCCCCTGCCAGCGCCCCCACTCCCACGCTGCTGCCTGGTGTCGTGCCCACTGTGCCAGAGCCAACGCCTCTCCTTTGCCTTTTTGCCGGGCGGCCGACTTCTTCCTCTTCCGCAGCATGTGGCGCTGCTGCTGGTGGTGGCGACTGCGGTGATGATGGTGGTAGGTGGTGCAGTTGCTGCATGCATGGGTAGCAAGCAAGTGCAGAAACACAATGGGACAGTGGCACGGTGTTACAAGTGACATGGAGAAAGGAGGGGGGAAAACGAGAGCCAAAACGGCAGCGCTGTTAGAAGCAACATTCAAGGAGAGGAGAACAAGAGAGCAAGAAGGGAGTATGCGGGAGAGAGGAAGGGGGACTGCGAGAAGGTGAATGTATGACACCAAAAGAAGGTGGGCGAAGGAGGAAGGGATGGGAGGATAGAGAGAATGATGGCGGGAGAAGGGGGTTTGTTGGGAAGGAGAGGAGGTGAGGTGATGGCACCTGGGAGAGGAGCAAGGCGGCGAGGTCCATGATGGGCCAATGGGATTGTGCCACGGAGGATGATGCGTGCAGTGATGACTTGGACGCTGCAGTCACAGCCCGCACGTCTAGACTGCAGGGGATTGGGGCGGTTGACGGGGGTTGAGGGTTGAGGAGGAGGGGAAAGGGAGAGGGAGGGGGAAGGGGGAGAGGGAGGGGGAGGGGAAAGGGGAAGGGGAAGGGGGAGGGAGAAGGGGAGGGTGAGGGGGAAAAGAGGGCAGGGAGAGAGAGGGACGTTAAGCACTGGTGAGGCGGCGGGACCTGGCTGATAGTGCCTCTACCCAGACTGCAGAGACCAGAAGGGGTTCGTGGGGGAGAGGGGAGGAGGAGGGAGGGTGGGGGGAGTGGAGGATAGACACGCAGTGCATGGGAAGCAGTGAGACGCACAGGGAGGGAAGCTGCGCATTGCAAGGGGAGGCTAGCCCAGCGTCACTCCATGCCACACCATACGGTACACCCCAGAGTGGATCGACCAAACTGCATGGGGAAACGTTCATGGCCAAAACCACCCATACACACGCGCACGCACTCACCACTCTTCCCAACCACCCACCCACGCACTGACCAACCCACCCACCCACACCGACCCACCCTGGCAGCAGGCTGGCAGAGGCAGCAGCACCAGCAGCCCCCCCAGCAGCAGCAGAGGAGCGAGAGAGCTCCTTCACCACCAGCGACAGCACCTCCCTCTGCACCTCGCTCTGCTCCTCACTGCTGCCCCTTCCACCCCTTGCTGCTGCCAGTGGTGCCTCCCCGCCCCCAACATCATCGCCATCACACAGCTGCCCTCCTGCTGTGAGGCGCACGAGCATGCGCGCTGAGAGAACGAGGCCCTCCTGTGCGGTGAGGGGCGACAGAGAGGAGAGTCCAAGGGGCAACGGTGAGGGGCGTGGAGATGCGTTGGTTGGCATAAACGGTGCTGCAGCACAGCATGCAGCAAAACTACCACATCGCATGGCATCGCATGCCACTGGGCACACATGACCTAATATTCTCCTCCCGTGTGCATTGCCACGTGCTGACCACAAACAAAGACCCTGGGCAAGCCCGGCAGCCCCGCCAGTGCGAGTTTTTAGTCGATTCACAAACCATGCACAGGGCAGACGGTCCGCCACTCCACATGCACTGTGCGGATGGTACATGCACTGTGCGGATGGTACATGCACTGTGCGGATGGTACATGCACTGTGCGGACGGTACATGCACTGTGCGGACGGTACATGCACTGTGCGGATGGTACATGCACTGTGCGGACGGTACATGCACTGTGCGGACGGTACATGCACTGTGCGGATGGTACATGCACTGTGCGGATGGTACATGCACTATGCGGATGGTACATGCACTGTGCGGACGGTACATGCACTGTGCGGACGGTACATGCACTGTGCGGATGGTACATGCACTGTGCGGATGGTACATGCACTGTGCGGATGGTACATGCACTGTGCGGACGGTACATGCACTGTGCGGACGGTACGTGCACTGTGCGGATGGTACATGCACTGTGCAGATGGTACATGCACTGTGCGGATGGTAAATGCACTGTGCGGATGGTACATGCACTGTGCGGATAGTACATGCACTGTGCGGACGGTACATGTGCTGGGCAGATGGTACATGCACTTTGTGGACAGTACATGTACACATGCACTGGGCTGGGCAGACGGTACTATTTATCTGAACCCACCATGACATTCTCGTCGCGAGTGCAGTGCCACGTGCGCACCACAAAGCCCCTGAGTGCGCCCAGCAGCCCCAGCAGCTCGCCTGAAGCGGCGAGGCCTGCCCCACACGCTGCGAGGAATGCCGCCCCACACGCCAGTAGCTTGCGCGCCAGCCTGCCGTCGTCACTGCGGTGTGCGGAAGTGGCAAGGGAGCAGGGAAGGAGGGGTGAGGGGAACGATGGGGGGACAAATGTGCAGAGAATGAAGGATGCGAGAGCGCAGAGAGCTGGGAAGCTGAGAGAGCAGGGCAAAAAGCTGCCGCAGCTTTCCATGTGGCAGGGCAAGGTGGGAGGACGGGAAGGAGTGGGGCAAGAGAAGAGGAGGACGGGCATAGCGCATCATCAGGTGGTCTGTCCACAAGGCAGCGAGCAATGGCAGCCTCATGGAACGCCCCCCGACGGCCCCTCGATCATAACACGGTCCCTCAACAGACAATGCTGCTGGCATGCCAACGTCCTTCCACCCCTGTGGCTGGTACTTGCATTGCATGCACAACAGAACGGTTGGCAGGCACTGAGAAAGGTGCAATGCGAGCAGAGCAGCACTCACACCTGAGGTGAGTGAATGGCAGCACTCGCACCTGAGGTGAGTGAATGGCAGCACTCACACCTGAGGTGAGTGAATGGCAGCACTCACACCTGAGGTGAGTGAATGGCAGCACTCGCACCTGAGGTGAGTGAATGGCAGCACTCGCACCTGAGGTGAGTGAATGGCAGCACTCACACCTGAGGTGAGTGAATGGCAGCACTCACACCTGAGGTGAGTGAATGGCAGCACTCGCACCTGAGGTGAGTGAATGGCAGCACTCGCACCTGAGGTGAGTGAATGGCAGCACTCACACCTGAGGTGAGTGAATGGCAGCACTCGCACCTGAGGTGAGTGAATGGCAGCACTCGCACCTGAGGTGAGTGAATGGCAGCACTCACACCTGAGGTGAGTGAATGGCAGCACTCACACCTGAGGTGAGTGAATGGCAGCACTCGCACCTGAGGCGAGTGAATGGCAGCACTCGCACCTGAGGTGAGTGAATGGCAGCACTCGCACCTGAGGTGAGTGAATGGCAGCACTCGCACCTGAGGTGAGTGAATGGCAGCACTCACACCTGAGGTGAGTGAATGGCAGCACTCGCACCTGAGGTGAGTGAATGGCAGCACTCACACCTGAGGTGAGTGAATGGCAGCACTCACACCTGAGGTGAGTGAATGGCAGCACTCACACCTGAGGTGAGGGAATGGCAGCACTCACACCTGAGGTGAGTGAATGGCAGCACTCGCACCTGAGGTGAGTGAATGGCAGCACTCGCACCTGAGGTGAGTGAATGGCAGCACTCACACCTGAGGTGAGTGAATGGCAGCACTCACACCTGAGTTGAGTGAAGATGCGGGTAAAGCTGGCCGCCATGTCGCACTGCTGCTGCACCTTCAGGGAGGCGCCGCCCGCCGCACAGCGAGTCAGCGCCAGCACGGAGGAAGCTGCGTGAAAGGCCTCCAAATTGGACACTGTAGCAGCAGCAGCAGCAGCAGCAGCAGCAGCAGCAACAGCAGCAGCAGCAGGTGATTCTGATGCGGACGGGAGGAGCGCCCCTGCTGTTGTGGTGGTGAGATCTGCGCCAACTGCCAGCTCCAGGCGGCTCATAAAGAATATGATCAGCTCTGCAGCACAAACACGGAGGCACACGGAGGCACACGGAGGCACAAGGAGGCACACGGAGGCACAAGGGGCGAGGCACAAAGGTGAGTAGGGAAGAGTATGTGATATGTTTCGCAAGGTTGCCCTCTCAGACTAGACAGTATCGCACGGTCAAAAGAGAAGGTTTAGAGTTTGCCTTGCAGCGCAGCACACATCTCACCGCACAGCAGCGCACCCATCTCACCTCTCAGCACCTCATCCCACAGCGCAGCACGGCATTCATCTCACCTCACAGCCCCCCATCCCACCGCACAGCCCCCCATCCCACCGCGCAGCACCGCACTCATCTCACCTCGCATTGTTTTGGTGTTGGCAATGCAGAGGGCATAGTCAGGCACGGCGAGCAGGGCGAGCAGCGCATGGCAATAGTCGGTGAGAAAGGAGGGCGCCTGGGGCAGCGTGGCTGATATGTGCTGACACAGCGTGCGCACCCTGTTGGCTAGGCGCAAGGGGTGGGCACCCAGTGGGGGTGGGGGGACTGGGAAGGCAGGGGAGGGGAAGGGACGAGAGGGGGGATGGAGGCAGTAAATCGAGCAGCTGTGCGTGCATCACTCACTGCATCCCTGACAGACGCATCCTGATTCTGGACCCCTCCGCATCCAAACACCCCTCCTCACCCAAACCCCTCCACCACGCGCTCCCACCCCCTTCCACCAGTCACCTCGCTCATCTGCCGCCTCTATCAGCCTCCTCAGCTCCCTCGCTGCTTCCTGCCTGTGTGTGCGGCGCGTGCGCGTGGCGTTTGTCGCGACCACGTCTCTGTTGATGGCTGAGCACAGCGCTGCCACCACCGTGCACCACAGCTCCTCTGTTGCGCGTGTTGTGTGTGCCAGCAGGGAAACAGGGCAGCAGGGCAACAGGACAACAGGAGAATATGGCAAAAGGTGGTGTGTGTGGCGAACACGTCCCTTTGATGCGCATGCACAGCACTGCCACACGCGTGCACCAGAGCTCATCTCATGCGAACAAGGGCAGTGGGAAAAGGGGAGATGGGGGAAAGGGGGAACTTGGCGAGTGATCGATGGAGGAATGGGAGTACAGAGGTATGGGGGGATGGCGCCATGGGGAAATCGGGCGACGGGGCAGTACCCCCCTGCCAGTACCTCGGTCCAGAGCGGTGCAGAAGGACAGCATGCACGAGTCGTGCATGTAGCGATGCAGCCTCTTAAAGCCCTCCTGCCAGCACAGCATGCGAAGCACAGCACGCGAAGCACAGTATACAAATAAATAACAACACAGAACAAAGGTATGGGAGAAGAACATGAATCAAAACAACAGCATGCGGGCTGCTCACACTGTATCCATCCCACAACAGAGCCCCTGTGACAACGCCAGGTACAGCCCCCTGTCACCTGCCGCACCCCGTGCTGCTAGGCTCTCTCCGCCCCCACTAGCCGAACTACCGCTTTCCGAGGCGCCCTAATACCCCGCATCACAACCCCTGGCACCACCTCCCGTCATCTGAAGCCGTACCTCGCGCTGCTTGGCCCTGTCCGCTCCCAGCAACTGACACCATCCATCGCCTCTTGAGATGTCCCAGAAACCCAACCCCCCATCACAACCCTTTGCAGAGACCCCGTCGTCACAACCCTCCCAGCACAACCACTACCTCGCGCTGCCTGGCCCTGTCCGCGCCCAGCAGCTGCACCATCGCCTCCACGTCCGACCGCGCCACCACCGCCGCCATGCCGTGCGCTCCTCACTCCTGCCGCCCCAACACTAACAAAATGGAATCTAATCGAATCCGATTTCGAGCAGCGCGCAGTAAGAAGTTACATGGCGGTGAGCTGGCAGTAAGATGACCGTGGGCTGGCAGTAAGATGGCCGTGAGCTGGCAGTTAGATGGCCGTGAGCTGGCTGCAAGCAGGTCTTTAGCAGCGGGGCGACGGTGGGCACTGGGATTGGAACGGTGTGATTGCAAGGGAAGCAGCGCGCGCGGTGAGCGGAAGAGAAGCAGCGCGCGCGGTGAGCGGAAGGGAAGCAGCGAGCGTAGAGAGAAGGAATCCTGCGTCGTTTGCGTCCTGCGTCTGCTATCCCGAACTGCGATCCCGAGAGGCATGCTGTCTTGTATGCAGAACTTAAGGGCGCGTCAGGTGGCGTTCGATTTCAACAACGTCCTCTGGTAACTCATTTCCTAATTGTAACCAATCTTCATAAGACAGACACGCAACGAACCAAGACTTCGTACTTTGCAAAACGTCCTGGCTCAGTGAAAAACACTTCATGAACACCGCGAATTCGTATGACAGATCGAAACTGGTCAAGAATGGTCGTGAGTAACAAAATTCCTTTCTTACAACTGCATCGCAAATCACCTCACTGATATCGTCCAAGCGCTTACTAGTTGCGCCACTGTTTGGCGAGGACATGGTTACTTCGCAAGCGTGTAGATTTTGAACTGGGTAACCTAACGTGGAACTTCGGTACAATTTGACACGAGCTGTAGTTTGTACAGCTTCAAGTACTAAAACGAATTCCGTCGAACGAGCTGATTGTGACGATCGTAACGCGTCGGGAACATCATTGTTCGCCAACTCTTGGTGAGTGCAGATTTTTCACATAAAAGTAGCCCAGACCTTCGCCTAATATTCAAGTATTGCCTGGTTCCGAAATAGTCTTCCTCCCAAAACAAGCCAACACACACGAAACATGCTCGTTCTGAGATCTAGTGCGAATTCGGAGTATGAAGTTCTGGTAACTATGTTGAACGCATCACGTATGTGTACCTCGCACTCCCGTCGTTGTTGCTTTGCTTGAAATCACGAGTCTAAATTTGTATTACGAAATCGAACAAAGAAAATGTAAGGTGACAAAACTAAGATTTAAGCACCGGGGGCGAAGTTGGTGGCATAGGCCCACGCGTTGTTCACGGTGGGGTCAGCCAGGTGGTCGTTCAGGTTCTCCAGGGGGCCCTTGCCGGTGACGATGGCCTGGACGAAGAAGCCGAACATCGACACCATGGCGAGGCGGCCGTTCTTCAGCTCCTTCACCTTTAGCTCGGCAAGCGCATCGGGATCGTCGGCCAGACCCAGGGGGTCGAAGGCACCGCCGGGGTACAGCGGGTCCTCAACCTCTTGGAAGCCCTCGAGGCCACCCACGCGGTAGCTCTCGACGGCACCCATGAGGATGACCTGGGTGGCCCAGATGGCCAGGATGGACTGCGCGTGGATCAGGCTGGGGTTGCCCAGGTAGTCCAGGCCACCCTCGGAGAAGATCTGCGCGCCGGCCTTGAACCACACGGCCTCGCCGAAGTTCACGCCGTTGCCGGCCAGCAGCTCGGGGGTCAGGCAGCCAAGCGCACCGAGCAGAGCCCAGCGAGCGTGGATGACCTGGTGGGTGGAGCAGACGCGAGAAAAACAGGAGATGGTGACGGTAAGAAAAAAACAATCCCGAATATCCTACTTCGAGGCGCACAACGGTCTGGACCAATTCTCTGGACTGGTTTTAGAAAGCAGCATCATCAGTTACAAATAAAATCGGGTTCGAGAAACGGGAGTTGGTGACGATACGAACAGAACGAGTTGCTATTGCAAGCCGCACAGCGAAATGAAAAAATCTGCAAAACGTTCTTATCTCCCAAAAGGAAAACCGGGGTCTAATGTTTAGTTAAGAATCTGGTGTGGCTTACCTCCAGCTCGCGGTTCTTGGCGAAAGTCTCGGGATCAGCGGACAGACCCGCCGTGTCCCAGCCGTAGTCGCCGGGGTATTCGCCAGTGAGGTACGACGGGGGGGAGGAGAACGGGCCCAGGAACAGGTTGCGGTCGGGGCCGTAGAAGGCGCTGCTGGAAGCCGCCTTGGCGGTCTTCCTCATCGTCACGCGGGCCTCGACATTGTTCACCTTGGCGTCGAGCTCAGCGCTCTGGCCGACAAAGGTGGAGGGGAGCACAGCAGCGTTTGCGAGAGCAGCCATAGTGGATGTGTAAGTCTATTGAAATGAAAGCTGCTGGAAATAATCCTGGATGAGTGTGCCTGCCTGCTGATCTTCTCCTGACTAGCGGCCGTTTTGAGCTCGAGGTCTCAGGGAGAAGCTGGGCTTGGGTGGGGTGGGGTGAGGGGAGAGGCATTGTTGGGGGCGATTGCAATTGGATGGATGCTCACTCATCGCCTACTCACACGGAATCCAGGCAATCGAGCTCGACCAATAGCGATGGGGCTACATCATGGTGGGTTGTGCTCAACTGGTGGTGTGCCTGGCGACAGCGTGTGCGAGGTGTTGAATTTGTCTTCGCGACACTTCGCCCCGTCATCATTGATGAGCCAAGCAGCACAGCCAGCCAGATTTTGGTGTGAGCGATCTGCAAGCTGATTGGCAACGCTGATCTTTAGTGGTCCTTTTGATTCAATACACCCGGAACCACTCAAATGTTCCATTCCAATACTTCATCTTGCCGATTGTCTTGGAGACCCGATTATCTAGGTCAAGGGGAATAGGTGCGCAATAACGAATTACTCGTTACTGTACCAGCTCCATAGTTCGAGGTTGGGCTGGTATTTCGTGGCGCGTGCGTATTGGCTCCGTGTTCTTTGGAGAACACCTGTTTCTGCGAGCGTTGCTTCAAGACTTCTGGGTCCACTCCCTGGCCCACTGCCATGACAGCACACCCTTGAGATTTGCGAAATGCGAGGGCACGGCAATGTTTGTTCCTGATTCATGAGTCTGCATGATCGTCTCTCTCGCCACACCACCACACCACATGACAACACACTAATACATACCAAAACACACAAAACCACACCACACCACACCATAACACCCTTGTTGACCATCGTCTGTTTCGCCAACACTGTCGCACAAGGGATAAGCAGCAGGAGTTGGGTCTCGTTCTCTGTCAGAATTGTTGCTCCTCCTCCTCCTTCGCCGCCATGAAAACTGGCATTTCAACTCAAGAGGGACAGCTGAGCGAAGAGAGAAGGTATAATCCCAAGGCTATCTCGTCTCGATTTCAAAATCGTCCAGAGTCCAACTATCATTCCCAGTCCAGTCGAGGTCAGTAGGAGGAGTCAGGTGACCAGTATCCCGAGATTTCTACTTAGAATGCGGGCAGGCAATATCGATCATCGACGGTCCAATTTTAATTCGCCACCGCACTGTATCCACGCATAACTATTTTGCACCGTAATACAACCATTTCAACCCCGTTTAGGAACGATCTTGAGGGCGATCGGTCCTGCTCTTCCTCCACTCGCATCCTTACAGTGTACATTGATTAAATACAGTGGTATAGATCAAGCTACTAGAAGCACTGCTGTTTCTCCTCGTCTCAGTGCAGACTATAATTATTTCGCACGCCGATCCGGTCGTAGCGATGTTGAACATGACAGCAGCAGAGGCGGCGCAGATGCTGGGCCGGCCGCTCACGACAGCGGAGGCGGTGTGGCTGGAAACGACGCGCGGCGTGGCGGACTACCAGCTGTACTGCTGCACTGTAGTGCTGCTCGTCATTCTCTACACGGTCGCGTGCCTGCCGTACGCGATATTAGACTACCTCCGCCTGCCCTTCTTCGAGCAGTACCGCCTGCAGCCCGCCGTGGCCCACTCGCTGGCCGACACGTGGAAGTGCTATAAAGACGTGATCGGCGTGATGGTGACGACGATCCTCCCCCTTCAGCTGCTCTCGTATCCTTTCTTCAAGGTGCGGTCCCCTTCAGCTCATTTCGTATCCTTGCTTCAAGGTACCGTTCCTCGTTCTCCCAGCTGCTCCCATAGCGTCACTCTCAGGCTGCCGTCTCACCGCCAATCACGTCCTTCTTCCACTGCGCGCCCACTGATATTTTTTTCCCATAGCTGATTCACCTCTCAAGCCCCCCCTGCCCCATAAAGTTGGGCCGAATCACCCCGCAAGCGACCCCTTCCCCCGGATCCGCCTTGCTCCAATGGCGCGCAACACGGGCTCACTCCCCCAACCAGCCCCCTCCGCCATGCCCTTCCGCTCATACGGCTGTCCCCTCCCCCATCCCCTCCCCGATCCACTCCCCTCCCTCTTCGACCTCCCCCCATCCCTGTGCAACTCCTCTTCCGCCTACAGTACCAAACGCCTCTCTATTCCCTCTCGCCCCCACCCTCCCAACCCTTCCCCCATCCCCTTCCCCAACCCCTCCCCCATATCCCCCTCCCAATCCCCGTCCTCCCTCCTCTCATCGCCCCCTCCCTGTGCGACCAGGTAGCGGGCATCAGGGCGTCGCTGCCGCTCCCCACGCTCTCCACATTAGCGCTGCAGCTGTTCGTCTTCCTTCTTATAGAAGACTATGGCAACTACTGGATCCACCGCCTCTTCCACCTCCTACAGTACCAAACACCTCTCCCACCCCTTCCCCCATCACCTCCCCCATCCACTGCCCCACCCCGTTTCCCATTCCCTACCCCATCCCCTTCCCCATCCCCTCCCCCATCCCCTCTCCCTCTTCGCCCCCTCCCTGTACCATCAGGTAGCAGGCATCACGGCGTCGCTGCCGCTCCCCACACTCTCCACGCTGGCTTTACAGCTGTTCGTCTTCCTTCTCATAGAAGACTACGGCAACTACTGGATCCACCGCCTCTTCCACCACCCGCTCCTCTACAAGCACATTCACTACAAGCATCACGAGTACACGTCACCCATGAGCGCCGCTGCCACGTACGCGCACTGGATCGAGGTGCTGCTGCTGGGCGTGCCCACGCTCGTGGGGCCTGCGATCGTGCAGTGCCACGTGGTCACGCTGTGGGTGTGGATCCTGCTGCGACAGCTAGAGGCCATTGAGACGCACTCAGGGTGAGCAGTCGAGGAGGAAGAGAGGGAGAAAAGGGGAGGGCTGGGCTGAGCTGCGTGCGGGCACACAGGTTGGAAGCATGGGTGGCATGTGGGGAGATTTCCTTGCTGCATTGTTCACGTCACCTATGGGTTGGGTGGGGGGGGAGAAGGGGGTTGGGTGGGGTTGGAAAGAGGGGAGGAAGGGAGGGCTGCTTGTGGAGTCACAGATTGGGGAGTATGGGTGGTATGGGAGGGATTGCCTCGCTGCATTGTTCATGTGGTCATGCTGTGGGTGTGGATCCTGCTGCGACAGCTGGGAGCCATTGAGACGCACTCAGGGTGAGCAGGCGAGGGGGAGAGGGAGTGGGGTGGGGAGTGGGGGAGGTGGCGGGGGAGTGAAGGGGGAGAGAGGGTTGAGGAAGGAATGGGGGGTGGGAAGTGGGGGAACGCTGTGGGGGGGTTGCCTTGGTGCACTACTCACATGGTCACTCTGTGGGCCTGAATTCTTCTGTAGCAGCTTGGGGCAGTTCAGACTGCGCCTTTATTTTAGGCGCCTCAAAAACAGACGAGGGGAGGGGCTGGGCTGGTTGCGGACATGTGTAAGGGGGGGGGTAACTTGCTGCATTGTTCATGTGGTGACGCTGTGGGCATGGATCCTGCTGCAGCAGCTGGAAGCGATTGAGACGCGCTCAGGGTAAACAGGCAGGGTGGGAGGGAGTGCGAGTGTAGGCTGGGGGGGAGGGGGGAAGAAGGGTGGTAGAGGGGGATGGAAGGGGGAAGGGCTTGGGGGATTGATGGGGGAAGGTGTGGAAAGGGGGAATGGGGGAGGGCTTCTGTGGCCACGCATATTGGGGATGGGGGGTGGCTTGCAGATTGGTTGCCTTGGTGCGCTATTTACTTACGAGGTGATTTGGTGGGTGTGGATGCTGCTGCTGCGATAGCTGGAAGAGACACACAGTTTAGAAATACGCGTGGCAAGTGGGGAGATTGCTGTAGTGCGCTCGTGGCGTGGTGAATTCGTGGGTGTGGATGCTGCTGCTGCTGCAACTGGAAGCGATTGTGATGCACTCCGGCAAGTGAAGGGAATGGAAGTAGAATGGGAGAACTTTGAAGCTCTTAGCAGGAAGGGTATCCTTGCTATATGTGCTCATGACCATATGATGGTATCGTGGCTTCCTGACTTTTCTCCCACTCGACGGTGGTTGACGGTGCACTATGCACTTTCTAGGACTGTGTTGTGTTCCTTTCACCTCTCAAAGCCACCTCCACTGCCCCTCCCTGCTCATGTCACTCGCAGGTACCACTTCCTGTTGTCGCCGCTCCTTTCTTGCCCATCCACTCCCCACCGTTCACACTTCAGCGCATTTCCCCTCCCCTTCCCTCTGCCCACATCACTCGCAGGAACGACTTCCCCTGCTCGCCAACGCCCCCCATTCCTTTTTACGGGGTCCCCTTCGCCTTCTCTCTGCACAGCTGTGTTCCTCACAGCTTTACTCTCGAATCCCCCTCCACACCCCCCCCTCCCCCCTCCTCTCTTTTCCTCCCTTCAACCCTCCATGTGAAACTCGCAGATACAACTTCCCTTGGTCGCCGATGCGACGAGTCCTCACAGCTCTCTTCCTCACAGCTCTCTTCCTCACAGCTCTCTTCCTCTGGTCTCCGGCATGCCTGATCCCGTTCTATGGGGACCTTCACGCGTATGTTCCTCACACCTCTCCTCTCAAACCACCCTTCACACCAACCCCCTGACCCCTTGCCCTTTCTTCCCCCTGTCTTTTCTCTCTTGTACCACTCCCAGGTACGACTTCCCCTGGTCGCCAACGCGCCTGATCCCGTTCTACGGCGGACCTCGCTTCCACGACTACCACCACGAGGTGGGCGGCGAGAGCCACTGCAACTTCGCCTCCATCTTCACCATCTGTGACTGGCTGTACGGCACTGATAAGGTGAGGGTGGAACCAACAAGGTGAGGTGGACGCTTGAAGCACTCACGAGGCAGTGCGAAAGTGAGTGTTCTCTGTTGGAGGTGCATGGTTATTTGACTGGGCACAGCCGAGCACCACATGCTAGAACCGCATGCATGCACCTCATGCTACTGCAGCTCAAACCTTTGACGGAGCCAGCGTTATTTACGCTACAGTCAACACGTTACGTGTTTAACGCTGGACGCCACCCTGCTGAA